GAACAGAAGGGAGAGCGTGAGAAGGAAGGAAGGAGATACAAGGAAGAAAGGAAGGGAGGAAGGAATAGCAAAATAACAATAAAGGAATATCAGAGTTGGAAGGGACCTTTCTAGTCCAACCCCAAGAAAGGAAGGAAGGAAAGGAGGGAGGGAGGAAGGAAAGCAAGATAACAGAATATCAGAGTTGGAAGGGACCTTAAAGGTTTTCTAGTCCAACCCCAAGGAAGGAGGGAAGGAAGGAAGGGAGACCCCTTGGAAGAAAAACCTGGTGGGCTGGGGCTGGTTTTCTTCCCCCCCACCCACTCCCACATCCGAGCCTTGGGGCCCAGCCGCTGCATCCGGGGAGCATGGGGGGCTGTGAGGGTGCAACGTGTGCACACACACCACCGGAAGCCTGGAGGAAGCGCCTGCCTCAGACGGAAGGCGCACAGACGGCAAACAGCCGCCCCCACAGCGCTGAGCTGTCTCTCTCTCCCCCCCCACCTCCCCATGATGCTCTTTGTAAAGCTGTCACTTTGCAACCATCCTGACACACGCAATAACACAAAGCACACACGCACACACACACAGCACACTTCTGTCCCCAGGCCTAAACATAGCTAGTTCTTGTCTACTTTTCCTTCCTCTTGTTTGTTTCTCTCCTTTCTTCCCTCCTTTTTCCAGCCTTCTTTTCCCCCATCCTCCTCTCGTCCTTCCCTCCCTTTTGGCATTACGAGACACACACACACACACACACCCAAACACACAGGGGGAAACTGAGGCACACACCGGGGAGGGGAATAAAGGCCTGCCCCTTGCCTTGAGGATCAAATCTCCCTCCCTCCGATAATGAACATTATTTTAATGCACCTGAGACGTTAGACAGCAAAGGCTCCCTACAACGCGCAGGTGGATCCTTGACTTACAACGGTTCATGGAGTGACGGGTTGAAGTTACAGTGGCACTTGTCTGAGATGGGGGATGGACTAGAAGACCTCCAAGGTCCCTTCCAGCTCTATACTATTTGTATTCTATATATTTTATATTCTATTTTTTTTTATCTATTTATTTTATTCTATCATCCTATATATTTTACATTCTATTTTCTATATTCTTTTCTTTATCCTATTCTATATATTTTATATCCTATTTTCTATATTCTATTCTATTATCTATTCTACATATTTTACATTCTATTTTCTATATTCTTTTATCTATTCTATCTATTTTATATTTTCTATATTCTTTTATCTATTCTACATATTTTACATTCTATTTTCTATTTTTTTTATATATTTTATTTTATATTTTCTATATTCTATTCTTTTATCTATTCTACATATTTTACATTCTATTTTCTATATTCTTTTATCTATTCTATATATTTTATATTTTATTCATTTATTCTATTCTTCTATCCTATCCGATATATTTTATATTCTATTTTCTTTATTCTATTCTATCCTATCCTATTTTCTATTCTATTCTATTATTCTATTCTATTATTTCTATTTCTATTCTTTTACTCGGCTTTCCTTTGTGTTCCCCCGTGGTATTTTGCAGATGTTGGTTAAAATGCCTGCGGAGGTTGCCACCTAGCTCGCAAAAAATGAAATTAATTTTTCTTTTATCCGCCACCTCTTCCTCTACCTCTTTTTGGAGCTTGAGCAGGTGGCGGGAGCAATCTTAAATTTTCAATTTTCTGTGAACATTTTATTACAATTAACGTCCACGAAGAAAAGGCTTCCTCCCTTTAGACAAATACCGTGAAGTCTCAAATCTGCAATTCAGCTTGGTTTATTTTATTTTATTTTTTAATTTGTAAGGGCTGGTGCCCTCTGCTGCCAATGAGCCACGTACTAATAATCTCGGCCTATAATAGTTAACAGAATTGGAAGGGACCTCGGAGGTCATCAAGTCCATCCCCCCCGCTCTCGCAGGACACCTGTACTATTTCTGATTAAGTGCCTATCCAGTTTCCTCCTGCTGCTTTTGGACTCCAGCTCCCATCATCCTGGCACCAGGGGAGGGGGATGTGGAGAGAGCTGTACTCCTCAAACCTTCGAAAGGATTACAGGAAGTCCTCAACTTAACGACTGTGGTTGGGAAAGGCACTGTTGTGGCCAAGGCACTGCGGTCGTTCAATGAATCACGCCCGACTTCACCCCTTTTCGCTGCGGTCGTTAAGCCCATCACGCAAGGAAGGTTGTAAAATGGGTCAAAACTCACTTCACGCACGTCTCGCTTCCACAACAGAAATTTGGAGTTCAATTGTGGCCGTTTTAAGTCAAGGATGACCTGAACTCAGATCCTTTCCCGGGGTGATCAAACGTGGGAAAAACTGGAATCCTGTTTTGGGGAACGCTGGGGGGGAAAAATTCAGCCGCCGCGGAGGAAATTATCTTAAAAATAAAATACATACAGAACACACCTTCACAAATTTTGTTCTGCCCATGGCAGAGTTTTATACTTTTTATCATGCTTGCAAGAAAACCAAACATTTCTCACGGAAGTGATTGTAAGGAAACCAAAAACGGATTCTCTTCCTCTTTCTCGCAGGAAAGTCAGACTCAAAACTCTTTTTTTTTTTTTTAACACTTCAAATTTTAAAATATATTTTTTTCCCCCCGTCTTACCTATCCATCTTTGTTGCTTCCCGGAAACACAGAACCAAACTGGATTCGTTCTAGACTGGGACTTCTCCACTTTTGGAAGATGGGTGGACTACGACTCCCAGAATTCCTCAGCCAGCAGGGGATGCTGGGACTTGGGGAGTTCAGCCATCTTCAAGCAGGCTGGCTGGGGAATCCTGGGAGTTGAAGTCCATCCGCCTGCAAAGCAGCCAAGATGGAGAAAGACTGGATTTTTTATAGATCGGTGCATTTCAATCCTGGCCTGTTTG